GCCTCTGCGCCCGGTGTCCAGGCCGCGCCCCTCTGCGCGCTCAGTGATGGGGGAGGAAGGACGGGGACGGGCAAATCCTCCCTCCTGCTCGCTCCGAACGCGCAGACACCCGGGCTGCCCCCCCACCCCACCCCGGCTGTCGGTGCGGAGCCCCGGCTGAGCGCCCGAGCCCCTTGCGGGGCTTCTCGCGCCTCAGAGTTGCGTGAGGGCTGGGGGAAAGGAGCCAAGGCCGGCTGCGCGGAATGCCGGGCCCGGCTCTCTGCTTCCCCGGAGCCTCCCCAAATCGAACCAGGGGCCCTCTCAGGAGGCCCGCTCCGCGGCCCCGCGCAGCCTTCGCTGCCCAAGGCCTCTCTCCCCCGCCCGCCTTCCCACCAGGCCCCGAACCCCGTGGGCTGCGGGCCACGATCCCCACGCACCCCGCCCGTGTAGCTGAGCCACGATCCCCACGCACCCGCCCGTGTAGCTGAGCCACGATCCCCACGCACCCGCCCGTGTAGCTGAGCCACGATCCCCACGCACCCGCCCGTGTAGCTGAGCCACGATCCCCACGCACCCGCCCGTGTAGCTGAGCCACGATCCCCACGCACCCGCCCGTGTAGCTGAGCCACGATCCCCACGCACCCGCCCGTGTAGCTGAGCCACGATCCCCACGCACCCGCCCGTGTAGCTGAGCCACGATCCCCACGCACCCGCCCGTGTAGCTGAGCCACGATCCCCACGCACCCGCCCGTGTAGCTGAGCCACGATCCCCACGCACCCGCCCGTGTAGCTGAGCCACGATCCCCACGCACCCGCCCGTGTAGCTGAGCCACGATCCCCACGCACCCGCCCGTGTAGCTGAGCCACGATCCCCACGCACCCGCCCGTGTAGCCGACTCAGAGTGGGAACTGCTGATTTTCACTCTTGTGGAAGCCCAGAGGGCTTATTTCACTTACTCAATGTTTCATTCAAGGGCTGTCTGTCTACCAGGTGCCCAAGGCAGTTGTTCTCACCGCGTCTCTGTAGGTCTCAGCAGGGAAAGACTGGTACACATTTGGGAACCGGGCGACCCAGCACACCCAGAAAAGTATCAGGAGGTTCCTAAGTCAGGGATGCACATCAGCCCCTTCTCTCGCTCACCCTCTCACAGGTCAAGCGCACATATTGTCGGTGTTCACTCCCACCAGCTCCCAAGTTCACAAGCCCTCCATCATCCTCGGGAAGGAAGTCCTTTGCCTGGACACCCCCTGCTTATCCTTCAACCCTAAGTGGGGAGTCACCGCTGGGCAGACTTCCCTGAGGCCTTCCCCGTGCCTATTAGAGGCCCCTGTTGTGCTCCACTCTGCCCCCCTTCCCTTTAGGGTAGCACCTGTCACTCTGGGTTGTCAAGGTCAGGTGTTTACTCTGGTGTGTTTTTTTTAAGTCCTCACCCCAGGATATGTTTTTATTGATTTTAGAGAGAGAGGAAGAGAGAGAGAGAGAAACATCAATGTGAGAGAGAAACATCCATCTGTTGCCCAGGGTTGGACCCCCAACCTTGGTGTATCTGGAGGGTGCTCTAACCAACTGAGCCACCCAGCCAGGGCCAGGTGGTTGCTCTTCTGTCTGCCCAATTTATGGAAGGTTGGGAAGTATCTTAGCCTTTTTTATTTTTATTTTATTTATTTATTTTTTAATCTCCAGCATCTGACAAAGTACCTGACACATAGAATAAAAGAGTAAAAGTGAATCTTCCAACAATGCTGTTAATGCTCTGTCTTATTGTTTAACATGATTTCACACTTAGAGAGTTAAATGTTGCCCACTAATGATAATGTCCTGTAAGAGTCTCTCTGTCTCTGTCTCTCTTCTTTCCTCTTTTTCTCCCTCTCATCCCTCTTGCTGGGCACTCTGGGGGATGATGGAGGTTTCATTTGCTCCCCAGAGGTCAGGATTCCACTCCAGACCCTGTGGTCAAAGTGATCCTGTTGTGGGGAAAGGCTGTTGAACAAGCCCATCCAGACCCCTTCCACAGGGTCTGCTGCAGATATCAGGCCTGTCCAAACTTGGGGAGCAGGACAGTTGTCAGGGATGGTGGAAAGAGGCTGGCATTGGGAGGGTGGGGGCCATAGAGCTCTGGTGACCGGTAGAACCTAAAGCTGGAAGCCTAGTGGCTATTTGTTCTGCCACAGTGCAGCTCCTTCTGGTTCTGGCTCAGCCAGTAGGCTCAGTGAGTGCTTGATCTTCACTGCTGACCTTTTGGCTGATAGAGGGAAGGGCAAAGGAGGATGTTGTCAACTGTGACATCCAAGGGTCCAAGCTCTCCTCAGGGAGCTCTGATCCTGGGTATTAGGGCTAATTTCTCCCTGGCTCTTGGGCTGCAGGCCACCATTCACCCTTGATTGGGAGAGCATTCAGGGGAGATCTGAGCCAGTCTATTCTCAGGACCCAAATCTGGGCAAACCCTGTCCAGACCAGCACTGAGTTGAGGATGGGGTGGCATTAGGAGGCAGGAGGAAAGNCAGGACCCAAATCTGGGCAAACCCTGTCCAGACCAGCACTGAGTTGAGGATGGGGTGGCATTAGGAGGCTCAGCAGGTATGGGGGGAAGTGGACTGGGGCCCAGGGATGCAGCTCCAAAGTGCCAGCAGAGGTGGGGGGGGGGTGCCAGTCAGGTGATCAGCTTAGGAGGATGATCTAAATTAATTCTTATAATCCCTGGACTCAGGACTCAGCCTCCCTCCTAATCCTATCCCTGCAGCTCATCCTCTCAGGATTGATGCAGCCATTTATCCCCCTTTACCTTATTTCTAATGCCTAGATCCCTTCATTAAAAAGAAAAAAGAGAGAATCTTTTAAACACACAGGAACCTACAGAGAATAACAATAAATATCCATGTACACACCAATGAAATCTAACTACTGTTCATTTCTTATTTGATTCAGAGATAGCCCTTCTTGTTATAGTTTTACAGTTTTACTCTCTATGCATATATTCACAAACACTACAGAATATTGATTTGTATGTTTAAAAAGCTATCTAAATGGTATTATGTTGCATACATTCTTCTGCAAACTTTTTTTTCTCTCAACTTTTTTTTTAACATTTATTCATGAATTTTAACTTCTGAATACTATTGTGTTGTTTGACTATACCACAACTTATTTATTCATTCTTCTACTAATGGGCATTTAGGATGTTTCCAGTTTTCCATATTATAAACAATGTTGCCACCAACAGTACTGTGCATGCCTCCTTGGCATATATGTAAGTGCTTCTCTAAGGTAGATATCTCAAAGTAGAATTTCTAGGTCACAGAATATGTGCTTAACTTCACTGGTTAAACTTTACTAGTTATTGCCAAATTGCTCTATAAAGCAGTTGGACCAGTTTACACTCTAACCAGTGGCTTTCAATGCTTGTTTAGATTCACTAACATACATTTCTCTACTCACCATTCCTTCTTGCATTTCACTCCTTTCTTCTTATGAAGTATACTCTTTGGTGGCATTTTAGTGAAAGTTTTTGAGTGGTAAACATTCTCAGTCATTGTCTTAAAATGTCCTTACTTCACACCATTTAAATGCAAATTTAGTGGGCATAGAATTTTAGATTGATGATTTTCTCTGGATCTTTTGAAGATATTCTATTTTTTCTTATAATATTTTGTTGCTAATTAGAAATCAGCTGTTCATATAATTATTATCTTTCTTGGCAAACAGGCATTTTTTCTGGTTACTTTTAAGATTTTTCTTTCTCTTCAGTAGTCTGCAGTTTTTCCACAACGTGTTTATAAGCTCAGGCCTGCGTTTTTCTTCCATTTTGGAAAATTCTTAACTATTATCTATTAGAATATTACATTCCCCCTATCCTTTCTGTCCCTTTCAGGAGCCCCTATTTTATATATGGGTGTGATATGCCCTGTATATAAATATATAGCTCATTCTTTTCTTCATGTCTTTTAACTATTTTCCACATTTCCTATCTCATCACCTTCCCCCCAAATTTTGAATGATTTCATCAGCTCTATCTTCCAATTCACTAATTCTCCTTCCAACTGGGTCAAGTCTACTTTTAATACATCACTGAGTTTTAATTTCAATGGTTTGTCCATCTCTTCATTTTTGTTGTTGTTGTTGTTGATCCTCACCTGATGATAATTTTTCCAATGATTTTTAGGGAGAGTGGAAGGGAGAGAGGAAGGGGAGGAGAGAGAGAGAAACATCAATGTGAGAGAGACACATCAATTGGTTGCCCTTGACTGGGAATCAAACCCAAGATCCTTTGGTGCACCAGCTGGCACTCTAACCACTGAGCCATGCCAGCCAGGGCTCATTTCTTTCTTTCTTCTTTTTTAAAAAGTATGTTTTTATTGATTTCAGAGAGAGGGAGAGAGAGAAAAACATCAATGTTGAGAGAGAGTCATCAACTGGCTGCTTCCTGCACGTCCCCAACTGGGGATCAAACCTGAAACCCAGGCATGTGACCTGACTGGGAATTGAACTGTGATCTCCTGGTTCATGGGTTGATGCTCAACCACTGAGTCACACTGGCTGGGCCAGGGCTCATTTCTTACTGTTTTATCTTTCCCTCTCAATAAGCCGCTTTTTCATAGTACAATATTTTTATTATGGTTTATTTTCTTGTGTTTAATTCTTAATGCTTTTAAATATGCTTATTATATAGTGTTTTTCATGTTCTATTATACACAGTTCTAGGAGTGTTAATTCTGTTTGTCATGTCTGCTGACTCTTTCTTATGTGGATTACTTCCTTGTCTAGTTTGTAATATTTTATTGTGAGCTCTTCTACAGCAGGTGTGTGCGTGAGTCCATATCTCCTGGGCCATGAAAACCTTCTTACAGAGCTATTTCTTGCTTCTGTGGGACTGCGTGGAATTCCTAGGGATTTCAAGGGTCCAAAACCAGATTTCTGTTTAACTTTTCTGCTTGAGGATCAGCATCATGCAGATAACGTAAATCCAGATGCAATACAAGCATTTGCTCAGACTTGGGACTTCAGTCTCTCAGGGTTGACTTGTATTTTTCTTTTCTCTGCTTCCTTGGACTGGTGTTTAGTTTTTAGTCTTCTTTCCATGGACAAGGTAGATCTTTGATGTTCTGAGCTTTATGCAGGGGGTCCAGCTCCAGCTCCTTGTCTCTGGTGGCCTGAAGCCACATATCTTATAACCAGAAGCATTAAAATGCAGCTCCAGGTCCCTGGGCATATATCTGTCTAAAACCCTCCATGGGCCACTGTGACAACCTCCACTTCTCTTTTATTTGGCTTTATATTCCTTCCTTAATTCTAATATCTGGGTTTCCTTTTTAAAAATAAATTTTGCAATTGTCCATATTTTAATTTTTAAATTCTATTTTATGCAGATTTCTGTGTGTGTTCAAGGGGATGCTGGGTGAGTAGAGAGCTGCATTAATTCAGTCTGCCCTGTTGCCAGAAGTTCCTCTCTAGATTCTCTTTGTCATTTTTGTTCCTAACCATCTCTATGTCTGTAAAGTGCATTATGGTTTGCAAGAGGATTTCACATGGTTTCTGACTTAATCCCTCAACAACTCTTAGAGATAAATATTACTGTTCCCATTTTACTGAGAGGAAAACCGAGACTCAGAACCATAACTTTAATTCTAGCTTTTGAACTTTGAATCCTATGCGTTTCATAGTTTGCGTTTACACGGAGAGCGAGGCCATCTCTTTGCTTCTACTCTAGAAAAGGCAGGCAGTAGATATGTATGTGGTGGGGGCAGAAGGATAAAAATCCAGGAAAAGCAGGGCTCGTCCGGGATTTGAACCCGGGACCTCTCGCACCCTAAGCGAGAATCATACCCCTAGACCAACGAGCCTGTTATAAATGCCCCTTGCTAGATGTGCCTTCCCTGCCACATCAGCTTCAGTCATAGTTTGTGGTTTCCAGAAGTGGCTTCTCCTCTTCCACACTGGCTCCCAGCCCAGGCCTCTGCACTCCCCGGGCCTCGCCCCTGCTCTCTCCTGCTCCTGCTCCTGCTCCTGCTCCTTCCCATCCTAC